CATCAATCCCATTGTAGTGAATTTATTCAAATTTTGCACAAATGTCCACCTGAGGATGACATGACAGAGCTCTCTATAAGTCCTGAAAAATACTGTGTTCTTTCAGTGAAGACAGCATGTTTCCCACTGGAAATTATTTGCAGGAATTTCTGTGTGTTGTATGTGTTTAGGAAAATGCCACAAGAACAAAGGCCTTTGAATAAAAACACAGGGAAGCCTTTAGAAAACTGACTGCTTGATTTCATTATTACATTACATAACTTTCTCTGAGTCCTCAAATAACTGCTTAAATACACAGTTTCAAATATAGAGTATCACCATATATAATATAATAAATAATGAATGTAAAATCAAGTTAGACAGTGTCAACCTAAAGTGCTGCTGTTTAGCTTTTCAAACCACGAATACATGATACAGGCTTCATTACAACCAGACACATAAAGAGAAGGCCATTTATCTTACTGCAGCTGCTAGCCAACTGTCTGTTGGTGTATTACTCTTCTCCCATGTGAAATCATAAGATTTTTCTTCAGCGCTGTAATCCTATACGACACGACAGACCAGTTCATTGTTTGGAACAATAGCTGAGTCAGAAGTGCAGAGTATGCAGCCTTCAGATATGCAACTTTAATCCCCTCAGGACCACAACTGGACCCTATAAATTAGTAAATGATGGCCCTCAGAACCACAGAGATCTTAGTTTTTCCCACAAACATTAAGTAATAATATACAAGTTGTGCTTTTTTACCTATGGATACACCATTGACCAGTTACTCTTTCTCTCCGAAGCCGCATTCAGGTAGTGAGAGACATTATCACTTTTAGAGATAGGCCTATAAATAATATGACACTTCTAACTTGTGCTGCACAATTTCTCCTTGATATTAAAAAACTCACTGAATGAGGACAATTTCAGTGGGTCACTGAAGTGTGTGTGTCTTCAAGACTGACTGTTTTGATTTATATGTAATGTGTGAGCTGTGTTCAGGAGGTGTAATGTCATTTGCTTAAATAAAATATAAATAGAAACTATTTGTATCATTTGACTCTTACAATTAAATTGTTTCTCATTCATTTCCACTTGTTCATCACCTTGTTTCCATTTAGTTACATTAAGAACAAATGTATAAAATGGTCAGTAAATACAAATGGATTTATGCCTCATTGTAAATTTTTAGCTCCTGTAATTTTGCACCAAATGTTACATCCTCTAGAAAATGGTTTCATCTAAAAATCTGCCTTTAAACTGGAAAATCATGACATCTTGTCATTTGGGCTGAGGTTGATGTTGTTAAGTCCCACACAGCTGTGGCCCTCATCTCTTCATTAAATGGAATAAACAGACTGAGATGGAAAAGTTTTTTCTCCCACAGGTGCCACATCCATCAAAGTGAGATAGGTATGAAGAAGAGAGACTAAAGACTAGAGAGAAGAAGAATAAAAGTAGATGCAGGTGCAGTATATTAAAATTACGCCATTTGGTTGTAATACTGTGTGAGGAATTTGTTTTGTCCCATTTCCGCTAAACACATGCGTGACACAGGGTGTGTGTCACACAGTCACACACCTTGCTATATTTCATGAACCACCGACCTATTCTAATGTCTCATTTATGTCATCTCCCTCCGCCCTTTCTTTTCACAGTGTGTGCATGTTTGTTTCACTCCCAGTGCACCCTGGACTGGAAAAACGGAAACACATCAAAATAATGAGCACATCTGGATAACATTCCTCCGGGCTGTTACAGTGAGAGGCTTTTTTTGATAGTGAGTGATCAATCATGCCTCAACACATTTCGAATTTGAAAGCCTGCCACTTGCTTATGCTAACAAACCTGCCACATGTTAGGATTTTGGAAAGACATCTGATTCTTTTTTCCCTTCAGGTTTTCTCATCATTACTAATCTATGTTATTGTTAACAATGTAGTTTTTTGTTGTTTTGGGTATTAAGATTTTAAACACATATTTTTATGACTAAGCAGAAGCAAATGTAAGCAGGTTGAGAAGTATAAAGGACCACCTAGAAAACCTATTTGAATGAGCACTACATAGATTTTCTGTAGTCCCTATCTATACATGAGGTCTTGACTCTGGTTGAACTTATGAAAACCAAGAGCTGTGTACAGTACTATCAAAATGCTGCTTACATAGTTATTCCAGAAAGTAAGTACTAGCCACTTGCCTCCTCTGCCTTCCTGGTGTGCATCTTGGATGAGCGGAATAACAGATCGCAGAGCCTAAGCTGGGGACAAGTTTACTCAAAATTCTTAAATCCTGAACAGTTCACCACATGGCTACAATAAAAAAAGAGTTTTAATAATTAAACTGTCATTTTTAATTTGTCAGAAGAAACATATCAGTACAAAAAACATTCCCACACATTGCCTTGATCTGAGAGCAGCTTTCTAGACATACTGATGTTTTCATCATTATGTTAATTTATCCAGAGCAGCTTCATCACCATTCAACACACAGACCCATTACCTCACTCCTCATATTGTATTCATAACAAATGTGCCTGCAGTAACTTTGGGGGGTTTATTTGACTCAGCTTATTGTACAAACCATGAAGCTAAAATACTATCACATGGTTTAAATCCAGGATGTCTATGCACATGCCATGTTTCTCTGGAATACTGCCATACATTTTAGTCTCACATAATTTTATGTCTTTCTTCATTAAGGTTTTCAATAGAATGTCCAGCTGTTCAGTATTATATGCATATACTGTCCAAGTTCCAACCAAGCACTGTCTTTACTGTTGAGGATATAAAGAATGAATTATTTGGAGGGTGTATGCCAGTTCAGCACCATAGCTTGGGTCTTTGGTCATGTCCTGAATACAAACCAGTCAGAGTAAGAAGCTCCAGAGATGGTACGGCCAATATTAATCTTACTTGTCTTTACTCTTTTTATTTATTTATATACATTTGATTACCCATCCATTTGATTTTTTTTATCCCTGTCCAACAGCTCTGATTAAAACCAGTGATGCCTAATTTTTGGTCAGTTAATCACTTAATAAAGCAAATGTTGGAACTGGAGTCAATAAAGAAACATTCCTATAAGAAGAATTTCACACAGATGAAAGCTTACTTTTTGAACTATCGCTGACCCCAAAGCAAGCCCTGTCATGTATGTGGACTTTCAGCACTTGACAAAAATAATCTGTTTGTGTGTGTGTGTGTGTGAAGCAGGTGAGGACCAGTCCTAACTGAACCCCACCCAGAACCTTTCTGCGATCATCAATGAACTGCTTTTACTGTTGAGACGTTGATGTTGAAAGAACACTTTTCAAGACAGAAAGAAGAAATAACAAGCTGTTCACTGAAGCTTTCCTGTCAAATTAACCTGTTTAAATAGCATCACAAAGCTTTCATTGGCAAGTTTCTAAACACATTCAAAGAGTTTTATGTTTGGTTCTGAGGAACTGAAATCACAGTGCTTGATCAAAAGTAAAATTCTGACAAGTTTAATGAGATCAGTTTTTGAGTAACATCTAAAGGAAACGTACAACAGGTCAGACTGTAAAAGGGTATCCTGACTTTTATATCATCTAGACCTGTAAAACTGATTCACTGACTCTCTGGATATTAAATATGCACCTTTATAGAGATATTCCAAGATTATGTTCCTATAACTGCTGTAAACATTTGTCTTACATTATACAGACACAGCTTTTCTAACCTCTATAATATATTTGATATTTCTGATTCCACTTTGCCTTTATGTTACTGTTGTTGGACTGCTCCAGTGTAGAACCCAGCTGAATGAACTTGTTATCCTGCTCTTCCCCCTACTGTACAGTTATGGGATCATTATGCTATAAGATGATGTTATAAGTGAAAAGTTTTAATCATCTTTTATCTTCTTTAAAATGAGCACAAACATATATATCCCTGAATATTTGCTTCATAATTAACAACAGTTGCAAATATACACATTTGCCAGATTTTCAATAACATAATTCTTTGTCCACATAATGGACACAAAGTAGCATAATGTAGCAACAGCTATGGCACCACCCTTACTTTTCTACTCCCATCCATTCTTTTGCCACCTTCATTCTTTTCATTCCTCTTTTTTAAGTTCAGGAAATAAAAAGTAGGTTAGCTAAAAGTGCATTAACATTTGAAACTTTGCCTTTAATGTCAGGATGATGCGCATTTAGACCGCTTCTTTTCACTTCAAAAATCAAGAAAATATGCAGATTGTTCAAGGCGCCCAAACTTCTGCACACATCTGTAGCTTATCCCACACGTTACAGACAGTGTAACGTTAATGGAAAGTAATCTCCACTTAACAGGTAGCCTCTGTTTGAAGCCCCCGTTGTACAGGAGCCACTTAGTATAGTTCCTCCCACCGCTGCTCAAACCGGAAGTTTAGCTGTTGTTGTCACACTGGAAGAAAATGGCTGCTGCTCCGACTTTTTTTCAATGAAGATACTGAAATTTCAATTTCATTTCGTTTTCTTGCATTGGAACTACAGTCGATCGCTATGCAATCTAGAAGGCAAGTCCATCCTGTTGGTTGAGATTGACCTTGCTTTATTGCTTTGTGTCTCAGACGACGTAACATCGTTAGCGTAGCTGGTAACTTACATCTCCACTAGGAACGGGCTAGCATGCTAACGTTAGCCACGTTAGCCTCAGCCGTTAGGCATCAGCGAGCTTGTTGCTATTCAGCTACTGACTTCACTGGACTCACAGATATCAGAGTTCACTAAACCTAGCTACACAGTTTTATCGACTGTGAGACGTACTGTGCATGTATTTACTTTGCTGAAGCGTTTACATTATAAGCAAGGGATAAAACAACTTAGATGAAACAGTTTGTCACGTCAGTATGCATAGCTGTATATGAGTGGCATCTGAATAAGTGCCAGCAATGCTCCTTGGCAGCCCACCATGCACACAGAGTCTGTGTGCCTGTGTTTATTTATCTACTGTCTGTTTTTGTTTGGTCGTGCTACGTGCAATACGTCTGCTGCGTGACTGTGCAGGGTGTGAATGGTCCCCATAGGAAGGTGACAGTGTGGGGCAGACAAGACAGCATCACTTGCCTTGCAGCTGGCGGTGGACCACAATGGTAAGTTTCACCTCTTTCAGGTCGTTTACCTCCACATATTTAGAGGACATCCAGAGTTATGTTTATATAGCAAATAAAATATTCCACCACTATTGGCACAGTTTCTTCCCACCACTTGGCAGTTCTCATTGTGACTAATCTGTGTTTCATTTTACTTTTATTACCCTCAGCAACAGGTTTTGGAATATGCATTGGATCGAGCCGAGGTAAAAGCCCTTATTTCAGTCTTGTGCATTTGTGTTTTTGTAGAAAGGGAAGCTAATAGTGTGGTTTCACAGTTCTGTACACCTATTGAATATAATATGCTCTGACCATAGTCAGACATTATCCGCCCCAACTTTCATTAATATAATGTATTATCTGTTATTCAGTACATTGCTGAAAGTGCTCGACAACGGCCAACCAGAAGAAGAGTTTCATCCGGTGGGAGGAAAAGTTTGTATCAGAAGCTGTATGAGCTGTACATAGAGGAATGTGAGAAAGAGCCAGAGTTAAAGGTTGGTATTTTGTATTTTGACTCAGTTATACTTTCAAACCTTGTTCATTCTAGTCTGTAGGAAATGAGTGGTAAAAATTTGTTTTGTTAGTTTTTTTTTAACTGTGGTTTCTGTGGATGCTTTCACGGGTGTTGTAGAAACGTTTCTACAAATGTTAAGGATGAGAATTGAAAAGTAAAAAACATGAAGTTTGGAGAAGAGGATTTGTATTTGAATCTTTTATTCTTTGCAAAGAGGAGTATACAAATGACCACAGTAGACAGTACAGAGTGTTAGACAGTACAGTCTCAGTTGAAAACTCAAAAAATCAGACAGTGTCTGTGTATATTTATAATCACTTTCCAGACTGGAAGATAAGAAGTTTATACAAAAGAGGAAAAGAGTTCACACTCATGTCCTAACACCTTGCAAGGAAATCATACTTTGCTCCATAGCAACACAAACATCTCCCACAGCTGAGTTTGTACTTTTGACACACAAGTTCTAGGAGCCTGAAAGTAAAGCAAAGAGCAGTAGGAAAGAAACATCACCATACATGGAACTGTCATTTTACTTTTAAGCATTACTGCTTCTAAACATTCAATGGAAAATGACCACCGCACAGGTTATCTGTAAACTGCATGACAATGTATTAAAAGAATAGAAGTGAGAATTTACATATAAGTGATCAAACTACTTTTGCAACACTACACTTTTTAGAGTATGTCTTTTTCTAACTCATGTCTAGAGTGGACTATCAAAGTTAGCTCCTGTTTTGTTTGCACTAAGCAATTAAAAATGTCTAAATGTATTTGTTATTTGTGAAGTAATGCAGTCAGAATGATTGGTAAATGTGGTGTTTAAACATGGGACTTTGTATCATATATATATATGATAAAGTAGTAGTTCTTAAGTTTTCTGTTATAAATGCATATTAAACTACTACTTTATACACCTATGCAGCTTTAGTCCGGGGTAAATGTGGGTCAGAAGCAATAAAAACTTTTTTTCTCACATGGAATTAGCATGGGATGTAACCTGGGAGATTTTTGTTGCTAATGTGGCAGAGTAGTCAGTTATGTGTTTTGTTTGTCTTTCTGGAGAATTTGAGGAGAAATGTGAATCTGCTGGAGAAGCTGGTGTCTCAGGAGTCTGTATCATGTCTGGTGGTCAACTTGTACCCTGGGAATGAAGGCTATTCTTTAATGCTCAGGGGCAAAAATGGATCTGGTAAGAGAAGTGAATTAAGCAATTATCCAAGCCCACCCATTAGTTTTCTAATCTGTTTAGTACAATAATCTCATCTGCAATATCCATGCTTATGTTGCTTATTAGATTCTGAAACAATTCGTCTGCCATATGAAGAAGGAGAACTGCTGGAGTACCTGGACGCTGAGGAGTTGCCTCCTATTCTGGTGGATCTGTTAGAAAAATCACAGGTCTGTATGCATGTCTGCACATGTACTGTACATATGGCCATTTAGTAGATTTTGAGTTGTTTCCACACTAAATGTAAGTAGATGCCATTTGAATGTCAGGTTGCAGTAGTGTAACCTTTAAGACTTTGTGCATGGTTCATATTTATGTTTTAAATGTCTAAAGAGAGCAGGACTACATGAGGTTTCAGTTCTTAACATCCAGTAATAGTTTCTTGTTGCTTTTTGCTTAGTAATTGCCCTTTTTGTGCTCATTGTTGGCTGCTGTGTGTATTGTGTCTCAGGTTAACATCTTCTACTGTGGCTGTGTAATAGTAGAGGTAAGAGACTACAGGCAATCTGGAAACACCAAGATGCCCACCTATCAGAGCAGACACATCCTGCTGCGGCCAACCATGCAGGTAAACTAGGAGAATGTGTTGAAAGCCTCTTTCACATTGATCAATACAAACTGTATAACTGATACTCAAAAAAAAAAAAATATCTGAGCAAGTATAAGTTTGACCTGGACTGAGTGAAAAATAATCGCCTACAAAAAGCTATCTTGTTTATATCTGTTTTTGCCCCACAGACTCTCATCTGTGATGTCCATGCCATGACCAGTGACCACCACAAGTGGACACAGGTAGTGTCATGTCATGTGTCAAACCCTGCTCCGCCTGACACGTCACTACCAATCAACGCTTTATCAGTTCACCCACATCAAACAACACAGCACAAAACATTTCTGTATATATTGTATTTTTCTTTAACAAATTCCAATTCCCAGCATCTCCACTGCCTCACCTAAAGGACAGCTTCTTTCCCATAGTAGTGGGCAGTCCTTCCTTGTGTGCCTTGAATCATTTTAGCATCAACCTATTTCACAGGTGTCATGTGTAGCATCTGTGCTCTTTGCTTTAGGATGACAAATTACAGCTGGAGAGTCAGTTGATTTTGGCCACAGCTGAACCTCTGTGCCTGGACCCCTCCATTTCTGTCACTTGCGCAGCCAACCGCCTGCTGTACAACAAACAGAAAATGAACACTCGCTCCATGAAACGGTACTGAATACGGTCATGCTTTGAATGTGGTCATGACAGAAATGTAGAAGGCATGAAAATAGAAGCTCTGTGAGAAGAAATGGTCAGTGAATGAAGCAGAAGCCTTGATTGTTTTAAGGGACAACTTTCTTGTTTGTTTGCATCATAGGTGTTTTAAGAGACATTCTCGTGCGGCGCTGAACAGGCAGCAGGAGCTGTCCCACCTGCCCTTGCCACCACAGCTACGACTCTACGACTATCTACAGAGGAGGAAGGAGAGAAAGCCTGCCCCCGTCATAGACCTGAAGATCTCAAAGATTGGAAACGTAAGCCTGTCTACTCTGTAAACACACAGATTTGATGAAGTTCATTGAAGCTGTTTACCATTTAATAGACCCTCTCCTACATGATGAAAAGTTTAGGGCTGTTCTGAATGGCAGTTTTTGGGCTCCAGATATTTGGCGGTAACAGTCGTTGAATATTTGAAGATTCGCCGAGAGTGGGTGGGGCAGTGGGGGTTAATTGGCTGACGTTGTCCTGCAGCAAAAATGACCTCTTTGCCCATCTGGCAGTATTTTGGGTTAAAAACAAAACAAAAAGCTGGGTGTCATTTTAACCAGAAACAGCGACCATCAGCAGAAGCTGCAACCTGAACGATTTCCACACAGAGCTTTGCTAACTAGATTGTAGGTGTCACTGTGTGGCGGCAGCAGCAGAGGGCGGCGTCTCGACTATCCAAATACTAAAACTGAAAACTGATTACCTACCCAACGAAAGAATATCCGAATAGTCGGATATTCGGGCCAGCCCTAGTAAAGTGTTTACCAGTTTGTCCACCCACCTGTCTGTGCCTCATGACAGTTAGACATTTTAAAGAAACTTAAAAAATGTTGCTTCCAGTGTGTTACCATGTTGTGTTTTTAAAACTATGTTCTAGATACGTTAAAGTTGCTAAAACAACAGGTGAAAGCAAGTTGACCTCAGCACAAGTCTGTGTGTACGCTCATAGTGCTCTCTCACTTTTTGCTTGTACCTCTTTTTGTTTGTCTCTGCTGCTGTCTCATCTGTCATCACTTGCAGTGTGTTGACATGTGGAAGCAGAGCAACTGCCAGCTATCTGTACCGAAGGAAATCGATGTAAGTGTTCCACTAAAACACTGACACTTAAACACTTGCCCCAGCACCACTTAAAATCCACTCAACTCATAGTCTGGCAGTTATAATATAGAGCATTTAAAACCAGATGGATTTGTTTGTGTTGCTCCAGGTGGAAAAGTACGCTGTGGTCGAGAAATCCCTGCAGCTGGAGAACTCTCAGCCCACTACTGTGATTTGGCCTGCTGAGGTAAGTGTGACCGCAGTATTAACATTTTATGAAGGGTACAGATCACTACGGTTTAGGCTCAGAAATAAGCAGCAAGTGGTTGTGCGTAATCTATAATGCTCTATTGAAAACAAAATCAGAGTTGACTTTGTTAACACCCTGCAATTTGCAAAATGACAAAATGCTTTTGTTTTATAATTATGAGAAAATGTGTGAGCAGAGGAAAAACATTGTTTAATAGCGTAAACCATTAATACTGTTGTGCTTCACCTCAAAACTACTGTAAACATGGAGCATTTCTGAATTACACATATGCTGCTGCTGTTGAGGGAGAACAAAAAATCATGCTGGCCTGCAGACAGACTACACCAGGGACGTTGCTTTTTTCCACAAACTGTCCTGCTTCACATTTTTGTAACATCCCTCATCCCTTATGAAAGCGAACATCTTGCTGGTCTGCTGAAAAGTTTGGTTACAGACACTACTGAGCTCCACTCTGCATGTCATGCAAACCCCTTTTATTTAGTTGTCTTTGCTTTCTTTACACAGGAAGTTGTAGATGACTACACATTTGAGTGTGAGGTGGGGGGCCAAGCACAGAGGACCAAGGTTTCTATCTTCCAGTCAATGGGAGACCCGCTGGTGTACGGGAAGATCTACTGCGCTAAAGAACCAAAAACAGAGGACAACGGCACAGACCTGAAGCTCATACATCCCCCGTAAGAACAGTGTGTGAGGCCAATTCAGTATACGTCACAAAGTTTGAAATGCCACCGTGAACTCATTCATCTTTGTCTCTTCTCTCTCATTCACAGCTTCCTCATAGGCTCAAAGATAGATGCAGACCGGTGAGTCACCTCTTTTCTTTTGTTTAGAGGCTGCTTTTGTCAAATATGCCAGTTTGAGGGATCTACCGTTGGAGAACAGGGCATAAATATTGTGTTATGTTTGTTTCATAGGTTTCTTACTCAGTACAAAGGAGTGTATGAGAGAGATGTGAAGTGTCAGGTCAAAATGTCCCATAACTCAGGCAATGTGGGACAGGGGCCACCCTCCCCCAACAAAGATGAGGTAGGCACTGCTTTGCTTAGATGCAGAAAAGGTTTGAGTTGCTCCAGGTTTGTGGAACTTGCTCAGACTTTTTGCATAGAATTTGACACCTCAACATTTTAATTTTTGAAGTATATTGAGCCTAATGAGCACTCTGACTATGCTGCAGCCACTAGTGAGAAAATTGTTTTTGTGGTGTACTCAGGCTAATCAACTGGCTTAAATGTCAATCTTCAGGGTGATGGTATTTCTCCATTGGTCCAGATGTCTGTGTTGGGAAAAGGGGTGAAGCACCGACCCCCTCCCATCAAACTGCCTCTGGGATCAGGCAGCAGCTCCTCAGGTACGTCTGCTGCTTCTGACAGAGATAAAGTGCAAACGTGGTGGTGGCCCATCACAGTTTCTGAGAGCAGTGTGGTAGAAGACAGATTCAGAAAGACAAGAAAAGAGCATAATTTATGTAATAATCTTCCCTGTTGCTATCTGTAGTACTGCTTTCACTGCAGCAAGTACAAAATCGCACTCTGTCTCATGGGGTTAGAGGAAAGAACTTCTGGAAATTGTAGAAAATAGGAATCCAAAACAAGGAAGACAGGTTGGTCGGAAAAGGGTGTGAGCAAACCTTAAATGGTAACAAATATCTGAACTGCATCATCATCATCATCATAGATTTATTAGCTCTAGCATCATAGTATTGTCGGAGGTGGATTTTTTCCTTTCATGGCTAGTTTTTCCGCTACTGGGTAGTACTGCGGTCAGGTGTTACAGGAGAAGGACCGACCCTCCAACCTTAGTCAGGTGTGGAGCATAAAAGGCACATACACTAACTTACATGAGCCTATGACGTTCTTAAATACAAAACAAGTTAGATAAGTGCAAATTCCCTCTTAACAGGAGTCGAACCAGAACTGTTGTTATACTCCCTGGTAATGCAAAGAGGACAAAAAAATCTTTTCTTTTTTCATCAGGTAATCTATATAGTTCACAAGCCACCAGTGGTCTACTCAAGTGTCCTACACCCCCTCCAGTCAAAAGCCAGTCTCTGAACAGGAAGCACTCCATGGAGCTGGGCCAGGTGGGGCTGCTCTCACCTGCCTCCCAGTCCCCTGTGGGTTCCACACAGAGTGAGTACAGCTGATTCTGACCAACTGCTGGCCTGCCTGTTTTCATTGGTTGTGAAAATAAGATCCCAAATTTTCCAGATCTGGAATTTTTCCAATGAAAATCATCATAAAAATATGGAAAAAAATTTAAAATACAGGGGTATATCTGGAACTTGACAAGCACACAGAGTTTTGCATCATAGACACTTTTCTCTGGGGAAATATGTATTTTAACTAAAACCAGTCGCTATGCAGGTCATCATAGTAATATAACTCTTTCTTAAAAAAATGTTTGGATATCACTTGCACTCTATCCTTTCAATTGTTTTGACTTATCCTCCACTACTCCTTAAGGATCGGGGACCCCCAAGCCATCCACACCAACACCCACCAACACGCCGTGCTCGACCCCTCACCCCACTGACTCCCTCACTGCTCCTCTCTCAGTGACCCCTACCCCTTCAGACCCTTCTATGGTGCAGAGCCAGTCGCAGCCCGCCCTCCTCACACCTTTTGCTCAGCAACAGCTGGCTCTAAGCCAGCCCCTGCCCGTCATGACCATTCCCCTGCCCACCATGGGTACATCCATCACCACGGGAACCACCTCGTCACAGGTCATGGCCAATACTGCAGGGCTCAATTTCATCAATGTGGTCAGCTCCGTCTGGTAAGACTGTATAAAGTCTTTGACACCACACTGCCACTTGCTATACACTGTCACTTTTCATGACGATCCTGTTCCATTTGTGTAGCAGTCCTCAGACCTTGATGAGTGGCTCCAACCCCATGCTGGGGCCAGGTTTTAACCTGAGTGGAATCCTGCCATCTGGAAGCCTCATGCCTACCATGCAGTCTGCAGCACAGACCGGTAAGATTTTTCAGCAGAAGCAATTAAAATAGAACCCTAACCTTCATTAACTAGTTAGGTGTGCAACCGAAGTTATAGGTGTAATGAAGACTTTCACAGAAAATGTGGTAAATACTCTGATTTGCGTTCTAGGGAGTCCTTTTGGCCTGAACAGCAGTGCTGGGTTGAGACCACTAAACCTGCTGCAGGTATGGCCTGTTAGTCTTTACTTAGTAGCATGCACTTGACATAGAGGCCTAATCCTGAGCCTGTTACCAACCTGGAACAGTGGCGAGCTGAGTGTGAATCATCCACACATCTTAATTTCCTCACACTTCCTTTTCCTGCACCTCACTGCATATCCCATGCAGTGAACACCCAGTATGTTGTACCACTGGGGCTTACATCTTCTGTATGTGGTGACCTAAGTGGAACTGACAACATCATCCTCACATAATTAGTGCCACCTTTTACCTCTTGAGATGCAAAGAGTCTCAGTAGAAAGGCCTTTGCTGGGGGAGGTCAAGGAATAGTGCAAACAAGGGGATAATCTGATCACAGGCACAGCTGAAGATCTTATACCACTCCCCTTATAGTAACTTTATAGTTTTGATATTCCGATAGTGACTAGTTACCCTGTGCTGATTGATTACTTTGTTAATTCTCCCATTTCCCCCTGCTCTTGACCCTTTGTGCTTACATGTGCACCATTCTTTTCCCTATGCCTCTCCTGTCTCCTTCGCCAACCCTTCCTTTATCTTCATCTCCCTGTCTGTCACACCCCCTGCTTTGTTTGTTGGTGTGCGTGTGTTTGTGTGTTACATTTCCAGCTCCCCACTGGTCCTCTCATCTTTAACTCTCTGCAGCAGCCACAGCTGCCCCAGTTCTCCCCACAGCAGAGTCAGTCGGCCACCTCCAGTCCTCAGCAGCAGGGGGAGACGGTGAGACACAGTCACATTTACATGCAAACACAAAACAAGCACATGCAGACAACTTAATATTTTAAGGAAGTGATAACTGAGCCAAAACCACTGGGCTGTGTGTCAGAGTTGCTAAAAGGAAGCTGCTCCTAATAAAGTTGGGGTATGGCGTCTATTGACAAATGTGGCTATAGAACAAGACTTTGAATGTGCTTGGGTGAGCAAGGTGAAGTGTAGACCTGAGTCACAGTAAAAAGGCTATAGAATGACTTGATGACAGCTGTGTATGTAGTCCAGTGATTTTTGTGATGCCAGTGATTGTGTGTGATGGCCTCACTGTTGACTTTCTTTGCAGGGTGACCAGGGGTCAGATCAAAATTTAGGAAACCAGCAAACAGCGGTCATTAACCTGGGAGTCGGAGGCTTCATGTCTCCACAGGCAACAGGTATGACCCACATAAACACACAGACACAAATGCAACCCACAAAAGTTTCTCTTAAAACATTTCTTTTCATGCAGTCCCTTAACCTGTTTCAAAAGAAGCACTAACTAGTACTAATAAGATAAGATTTACTAATGTATTCATTATCATAACTGTACATAGGACTCATTGTAACTAAACATGATAATTTTACTGACGTTAGCCTTTGTTGCTCTCAATGGAGCATGTAACATCTGACAGGAGAGACTCAACTTCCCCTTCTTCTCTGCTACATTTTCTTTTTCTGTTATTTTTTTGCCCCCACCCTTATGTTTTTTCCTCTTGCACTGTCTTCCTGTCCTCCTTCTCTACTTGTCCTACTCACTCCCACTTTTCTGGTTCACCCCTTTCTTACTATTTGTCCATAATCCACTTAAAATTCTTCATGCACACGGTCATTTACCTGTGCTGCTGGCCTCCCCTGCAATGTTCCTTCTTTTGTCTCTTTCTTTCATTTCATGTCTTTTCCTGCATGTGGTTATTGTCACCTGACCGCTTCCTCACCACCTTGCCCCTCACCCTCATTAATGTCCCCCTTGTGCCTTTTCTCTCTTCATACTTTATTCTGTTCCTTCTTTTGCTTCTCTCCCTCTTGCCATCACATCGTTCCCTGTGGGGCACCCTCTCTCCATCCTCCACCCTTAGTGCTGTCCCAGTTGGGCTGTGGGCTGGACGGGTCTGGGCCCCCGCTGCCTTCTCCAAGGCTTCAGCAGCAGCACCAGCCACAGGTCCAAGTAATACAGCAACTTTAATTAAACATCTATATACACATATACACGTTTGTAGAAGCCAAACACTGAGTCTAGATTCATCAGCCAACTCTCCATGCCTTCGCATAGCAGGCAGGCGTATGTTGTCCTACACTAGGAACTAGGTAAATCAGCTTTATGCTTTGCCAGTCTAAAAAAAAGTTTCTTAATCTTTCATTGGTATATTTCATCAGACCTGGGTAAAATTTAAATGGATGTTAAAAACACTTTGCAAACAATTGTGAACTATATGTCACACAATATACATTCGCCACCTCTAACAATCTGAATTGTTAGGGCTTTGAACATTTGAAAAAAATAGACATAACCACTGATGTGAGACTAATAAAAGCATTTTAGCTTATAAGTTCACTGTTTTCTTAAATATGCTTTTTATATACAGTCAGGGAAAAAATGATTTGAACCCCAGCTGATTTTGTAAGTTTGTCCACTAACAAAGAAATGATCAGTCTACAATGTCAATGGTACGTTTATGTGAACAGTGAGAGACACAACAATAACAAAAACATCCAGAAAAATGCATTACAAAAAAAGTTATACATTAATTTGCATTTTCATGAATGAAATAAGTATTTGATCCCCTATCAGTCAGCGAGATCTCTGGCTCCCAGGTGTATTTTATACAGGTAACGAGCTGACATTGGGAGCCCTCTCAGCTCGTTACCTGTATAAAAGAGACCTGTCCACAGAAGCAATCAATCAATCCAGATTCCAAACTCTTCACCATGGCCAAGACCAAAGAGCTTTCCAAGGATGTCAGGGACAAGATTGTGGACCTACACAAGGCTGGAATGGGCTACAAGACCATCGCCAAGCAGCTGGGTGAGAAGGTGACAACAGTTGATGCGATTATTCGCAAATGGAAGAAACATAAATTAACTGCCAATCTCCCTCGGTCTGGAGCTCCATGCACGATCTCACCTCGTGGAGTTTCAATGATAATGAGAACGGTGAGGAATCAGCCCAGAACTACTCAGGAGGAACTTGTCAATGATCTCAAGGCAGCTGGGACCATAGTCACCAAAAAAACAGTTGGTAACACACTAAACCTACCATTGACATTGCAGACTGATCATTTCTTTGTTAGTGGGCAAACTTACAAAATCAGCTGGGGTTCAAATCATTTTTTCCCTGACTGTACAATTAAAAAAAAAAATCTTTCGACTTGGAACGAATAGTTGCAGCCTGCAGATCTGATTTTCATCAAAGTTCTCCTTTGGATTTATTTTTGTCTTTGTTGTAGAGCTACACCATTTACTCCATCTTGTGTTGTGTTTGGTTAATATGTTGTTTGACATAGCTCACGGCAGTCCAAGTACTCCCACCAGCCAACACACTAGAGCTTGTGGCACTTCCGATGGCAGAAACTAACAGCGTGTCAAAGTGGGAGGCATGTTCTTAGAAAGCACTTAGCGACAGGATCTGAAATATTGTGATTGGGTACATACTGTTGACATGTTGCTGACCGCATCATGACAGATTAGAGATAGTAGGATGCTACACTGTAAGCATGAAGTTTATTGTGTTAGATTTTTATTTTTTCTTTTCCCAGTTGAAGTTGCTGACTTCAAGCAGAAAGCACGGGTCCTAAGCTGCATGTCTGTTGTTGCCACAGCCAATAATTTTTGTCTCCAGAACACCACTGGTGCTGCTTGACTGTATCCTGCCTCACTCCCCAACGCATCCCAACCCGCCCCTAATCTGTATCTCTTCCTTCTTCTCCCTCCCCTCTACAACCCATTCACCTCTCCTCTGTGTTTCTCCGTGCACTCCTCTTGTACCAGGCTTTAGTTCAGCTTCACTAACCCATGCCACACACAGTATAGATATCTATGACACTACGTATCCTGCCGGTAATCTAAGATATCATTTGGTTCCAGTTTCAATGAGGGAGTCTGCTCAACACTGGTGCCAGAGAATGTTTTTAACTGTGCTGCAGATGCTTAGATATATCTTAGATCCACTGACAAAACACGCATTATGTTGCTTGTTGTAACTTAACTGAAAATGCTTCTGATATTTTCACTTTTCGTCTGTCTCTCTGGACAGTTGCAATTCTTGCAGCACCAAATGGCTATGGGAGCAGCACCTCCTCAGGGGGGAGCGCCACGGCAACATATCGCCAGTCAACCAAGAAGTAAGAGGAAGAGGAGCACGCCACAGCCCCTCCCTAAGTCATGACAGACTAAAGTCACACTAAGAACTCTTCCCGCTGCTACACAAGGATGGGAATGATTCATACTGTGCTCTTTGTCTGCCTCTCTATAGTGACTGCAGACAAAAAAAGACTTTTCTGTTTGTCTTTTTCTAGCTGACAAATTTGTGTGGAATGGTTGTCAGAGGTTTTGGGGAACCAAAACTGTCTCCACCATCAAGGACAGGGTTTTTTAGATCAGGAAGCCCTACACATAAAGAACCTTAGTGATATTTTTTGAAATGCTACAGAAGATGGTTCTCATAGGTAGCGGGCTTCCAAAATAACAAATCGCTCCTTCAGGAAGACTTTTTTTTAAAGGAGGCCTCGTGGACTGAGAGGATCATGAATGCACATTCTCAGACGATTACTCATGAGCCTGTCTGATCCTCTTCCCTCTGTTTGGTGGACCCCAGTAGAAACTGCCCTTTAAGCACGGATACCAGTTGAGCTTACTTGACACCAAATCCTACATATAGACCTAACCATTACATGTGAAAATGCAAATCTGATCTTAGACTAGTGCCTGGGGGCAGCGCCTACCTCTCAGTGTGTTGGAAGTCTTTCTTCTGTTTGCGATACCGGCACAGGGCTCAACTAAGGACTCAAGATCAACATGCAAGACAGCGTACCTGCTTTTGTACAACACATTTTGAAAAAGTGTTTCCTTTTAATTAGTTCAGGAGCCATGTGCGTATTCTTACAAGACATCAACCGAGTGTGTGAGTGAGACATTTGTGGACACCGAGAAATAATTTTTTAAACAGTCTTTGTCAGCAGTTTTATTGTTATTAAAAAAAAAAAGAATATATATTGACAGTGGAAAATACAGCTTTTAGATAAAACGCTTTGTCTGAGGGTCTTTAATGTGCCGTCTTCACGCTATGTATGACTTTGTCAATGAGTTCCTGAATCTCTCGCTGTCGCACTGTTGCTCGGCTGATACACTCCTGCAGCTTCTCTCCGGACAGTGACGTTCCACCTGGGCCAGAGGGCAAGACTATTAGTGGTGGTGTTTGAGGGAATTTCTTTAAATTTGGCACAAATGTCCACTTGGACTAAAGGATGAACTGATGAGATTTTGGTGGTCAAAGGTCAAGTCGGTGACCTCATGTTTGTCCTATTACTATTTGAGTGGTTGGCGAAGGCAGACAACCACAAAGTGGTTTGTCTATGAGGATGTTTTATATGCCCTTGTGCTAATTTTGCATCTCTTTGCAGCTGTTTTGCATCTGTTTGAACTCATTTTGCATTTATTTTTTGGGGGGGCTTTCCAACAAGCTATGTTAACAGTCATTTCAGGGGCCCCTGAGCCTGTGCCTGGTAGGCTCATTCAGAAATCCATCCATGACTGAACTACACCTGAAATCCCAAGATAAACTGGGCGAGCTGTAGAACTGAAATGTAACCGTTGTATTCTTAAGCACTGCTCTGCACTGTTTACAATGGAGAGCTCCTAATCAGTTTTCCTTTCTGTAATCAATACGAAACTGGATTCATACACAGTATAAGTTGCACAGGGAGAAGCCGATCATTACAGGCTGTTGTTTCTGACCTGGTTTGTGTACAGAGCAGAGTCGATCCTCCTCATCTGTCACCACAGTGAGGTGAGCGGTCGACAGACTTTCCTCCTCAGCTGTGGGGTCCACGATCAGTATAGAGCTGCACAGAGAGCAGGCCGGGATCACACTTGTGAATACCGAATGCAGTTTTTCATCCTAGCTAGACAAACTGAAACTCATTTACTTACTCATCGAAGACACAAAAAGAGGCTCCGACTGGGTGTTTGTGAATATGTAACCCATGTCTTCTTTCTAAATTCACCTCGGGTGCACTTGTCTCTTTGTTGATGGTGACCTCTGGGAGCTGAGCTGTGGGTAGCAGTGAAACATTCAAGTTAATATACTGATAAAAAGAAGCTTACAAAACAGATACATCTCTTAGTGACCAAGGCTATGAACTACTAAAAGTGGGAGGCAGGAAAGTTGTGTGAATGAGCCAGAGTATGTACTGGAGCAATATTAAAATAAGTAAAGATAAGAACACTTGGAAAATTTACTGCATACACTTAAATAATTGGGGATTTTCGCGTTTCAGTTGCACTGAACTCTTTTGCTACCACTCATAACACATACTATTCTTCAGGGCAGCCAGCAGGGCAATGACACAAGCATCCAGCACGTTTCCATCATAGTCGAGACATATCATGTCACAGTAGAGCACCCAGCAGAGCTGTAACCAGAAACAGCAGGGTCAGGACCAGTGAGCCCAAGATTTACAGCAGTCACAATTTAACAGCACCAGTGTATGTGCATAATTCTGGGTTCACCTTTCCTCTTTCAATGCACAGGTCCTCTGTTTGTATCACTTCAGAGCTGAAAAACCCATGTAAGAAAAAAAGTAGGTTAGTAGAAGCAGCAAACGGCAATAAGAGAGAGAACACCCACCCAGTGAAAACTAAGGCCCGCTGCACCTTTCGATTACATCAGCGATGAACTGGCTGGCAGCCTGTGCCTGCTCTCCTGGTGGGCCTGGCCGAAATCGAGATGAGCACAGAGGTGGCAGATCCACGTTGGGTACTAACAAGGATCGAGAGATTTTTTTTTTTTTTTTTAATATCCCCAGAAGCTGCTCTATGTGTTATTATTCTTCCAGGATTCCATATATAGATTTACATCCACTCAGACACAAATCACAATAACTAAATGATAATAGGATGGAATTTCTTCTGGTTTTGGGCAACATACAGTTTACTGATGAAGTATAAGTAATATTTTCAGTATCTACTCAAGTTGAGACACACAAAGCAGAAATGCCAGGTTTTTGCATGGAATATAAAGTCATAAAAATGACATAATTGTCAGTCATTTCTTTTGAGACTTTTATACCTTGCCAAACATAATGTAAGTCACCAGCTAGTAAACCACCTAATTTTAAGGAAATAACTGCTTTAACAGTGTAAATGCACATAAAAACGCCTACTAAATGTATATTTTAATTATGTCAAGCTACATAATGATAGGATCTTTAAAGCAGCACCTGATACCTTCCTACTGTGCTGTACTGACCAATGTAACCTTTACCAGGTGTCTCCACTGTAGGGTTTGCCAGCTCCTACAGATGAAGGAACAAAACATATGATTAAACATATGTTTACCTGGTCCAGTTTAATTTAGTGAATGATTTTTAACTGCTGTGTTAATGACCATTTACCGCTTTGACGCCACAGATGACCGTGGTGTTCCCAACCTTCACCAGGGCTGACCCGTCAGCTGTGGTTATGGGCCCTGAACAGAGAGAAAGTGATCCCATGTATCTTTAACCCCACCTCACCCCCACAAAAAAACAACACACAGTACCACATAATGTATATGAATCTGCAAGAACCACTCACCTATGTTTAGTGTTGTGGTTCTGAATTCTGACAGCTCCCGCCCATCAGGTCGACAGTTTTCTTTCTGAAAGGAGAATGTTTGAATGTAATACGAGTGCTGACAATAACATTAGTAATGAATAGGAATGTATTACCATTCACTTGTGTCAGCTATGGACTAAATCTGCTGGACAAAAGGTTTTGACAGAGGTGTCGACAGTTTGACATTTACATTCAGTGAGGTTACTCTTCAAAAGCTTTTGGGTGACATCTTCGCTCCGCACCTGCTTTGCTGTGCATTTATCGGTACGGTTTTCGGAGCCCAACGCTTCAGCGCCGGTGTTGTGTCGAAATATGTTTCCCCAAACCACAACCACTGAGGGGGCGGCTACGTAAAACGAGTTGCTAACACTTTTCGACACAAGACCGGATTGTAAGGTAAAAAAAATAAAATAAAATGTACAGCATCTGTAAAGCTTCATGCTGTAATGGACAACAAATGTAGTGGGCACTGATAATCACCCTGAAAAGTTAACGAGGACTAACTAACCTCCCCGAATGACTGAACTGAACACTACGGTAAAGTTCTGTGTTTTATCACTG